TCGTCTTCTATGTAGAGAAGCCCCATCATCACTGGCTCATCCATCATCATGGATCACCATATTTTCTATGGCTGGCTCGGGCACGGCGCTCATCATCACAATGTCCCTAGATGGTTCGGGAACGGTGCTCTTCGACTTTTTATATTTGCCCTCGGCTGTGGAGGCACATCCTTTTTTTCGTTGCTTGTTCTCCGGTCGGGAACTTGCCCTAGAAGCAGGCCCGATGACACCCGTTCGGGTGAAATCCTCCTGCAGCAACCTCGCCGAGTGAGTAGGGTCAGCCAAGACGTCCTCCTCGGGGACGGTAATAGAGACCTGCGGAAGACCTGAATTCAACAGGAAAAAAAATCAACCAATTTTCCTATATGATAAGTTCAACCTACCATGATTTTTGGCCTTCCACCCGTATTTAAGGGCCAGTTATTCCACTTTCGGGTATCAGGCGTAGTGACATCCAAAATCTTCTGGACCCACTGGTCTGAACCTTCAATCCTTGGTGGTATCCATCGAGTTGCTGAAATAGTGAAAGAAGAAGAATTAATAATATCACAGGACAATCTTTAACTAGAAGGAAAGACAGACGATGCACTTACGAGTACGGTTCCATGATTCGGGAAAGAATGGATTCGTGGCCGGGATGATATCACTGGTGGCGACTACAACGAACCGCTCCATCCATCCATGGTCATTGTCATCGTCTATGATGGTTAGTGAAGCACGGTGACCACGTTTGCTGAAGTTTATCATTCCCCAATGGAAAATCTTGGTGGAATAAAGGTTTACCAGTTGAGCCAGGGATAGCTCTTCTCCCGTCTCCTAGCATAGACGCCGAAGACAAGCGATCGTCCGCCACATAGAAGGGCTCACTTATGCCAAGCAGACTTGGTAACAGATGTAAAACTGCAAGATAACGAAGTCAAGCCCTCCGATCAATGAGAACGGGCCCAAAGTGAAGGGGTACATATGAACATAAGTAAAACCATTCTTGGAGAAGGCTACTCGCTCTGCTAGGTCAGGAGCAATGATGTTCAAATCTTGACAACCACAGTTTTCCTTCACATCAGGGATGCTAGAAGGATGGATGGAAGAAAAGTATAAACCAACAACCCATGTGCGGGGGTTAGCAGAAGGGTACTTCTCTTCGAAGTATTTAGTTGTAGTAAGCCTTCTGGATAATGGTGCTCACCATAGGAGGAGGAGCATCATCAGTGTTTTCTTTGTTCTTTGAAGCACTGGAATTTCTAGAAGAGGAGGCCATTGTTATCAAAAGGAAGTAAGGGGTTTTCCTCCGAAGAAGAAGATTAAAGGAAGTAGAAAACAAGTGTGAGTTGAGTAAAGAGAGTTTGAGATAGTTTAGAATTATGAAGTGTAAAAAGAGAAGATAGATGCGTATAACCAAAGGAATAGGCAGCTAAAATCATGGCCATAATTACCTTGAGAACCGGGAAACGTTTTGTTGAATCATGGGATGACGCGTGTTCGGGGCATTAAATGCGGAGAGACGTGCGTCTGATCAATTGTCGAAAATTTTTCAGATGGGATCCGAGAATTTCCCTCCAAGAAAGGTATCTTCACCAACTTCTTGGTGACACAAGGATGTGCCACCGAAAAGCAAGGAGACTATCTGTATAGGGTAAAGTATGTTCATATTAAATGCTCGCATAATAAAGTGACACGTGGAGCCGAAGGCAGATGGAAAACGAGGCAAATGGCAATCAGGTCCGAAGGCAATAATCCTGTTTGTTCCTAAAGGGAATGATGCACATAAAGACAAAATAAATGCATATCACCCGGTAGCATTTAATGAAGAATATTCTACAACATTAAGTACGTAGCCCGTTGCAGAGAATATGACATTCATTGCCTACCATTACACATTCTTCAATGGCCTCCATAGTTGTCATTTAAGAGGGGCTTGATCCTAGGACCTTGTTCCCTAGGAACAACTATAAATAGTGAGCTGAACAACCATTGTAAGGGGAAGGAATTTTTTGACAAGCTCATAATATGCACTGTTCAAAGTTCAATAATATTTTATCTTCTTGCTTATTAATATTGTTACTACTGCCAACGGAAGCTCTGCTCCCGAACCAGAATTTCTGATGTCTTATCTCGATTTCAACGTTAAGTACATTCTTGTTTAATTTATTTGCCATTTTGGAATCAAATTGATTCAATTGTCTATAAACTATATATAAATTCAACTGTACCGTTTTACGAGTAAACAGAAGTGTTCCTTTTACTAAGGCACTTTATCCCTCATCGGAAAATAAAAAGAAAATCCTTGTGCTTTTATAGAAAAGCACATCTTCTATCTCTTAAAAGAGTTAGAGAAGAAGTGGTGTCTCGCGTTGTCGTCTTCGAGCATCGCTTGCTCGTCATTGATTAATATAGTATAATTCGCGGTTTAATTTCCTTTTCCAAAAGCAAAATTAATATTAAAATTTTTGATTTAAATTCATTATTTTCAACAGTAATTTCTAATCTGAAAGAACTCTCCCCTCTTTTTCTGTATATTGCATAGTTTTTCAAAGCAAAAAACGTAAGTGTTCAGTGTGATTTGCAACCGCTTGTTGAGTTCGCTAAAGTTCTGTAATTTTCATTGACGGTATTACAGAATAGTTGTTTCATACTTCTATTCTATCTTGGGAAGAAATCCAATAACCCTAGGCAACAGTGAGGGGATTAAATTCATTAAGAAAAATACAATTTTCTGTTGACTTAGAACAATTTAATTCTCCTACTTCTGTTTTTGTTTTATTTTTTTACAGAATTTATTTTCGAACACAATTTATTAACATTAAAGTGTTATATAGGGGTAGTGGTAAAAATTAAACTAGTGCTTAGAAAGTTAAATAGTATGAGCAAGAAACAATCACAATAAGGTATAACCCGTTATTACTATTACTTTCATTTTCAATTTTTCAAAGTTACTAATCTAAAGATACTAGTAATATTTTACTATAAACAACATCTAGTTGGCTTTTAAAAGTTACACCTACTTGATTATGTAAATATGTGTCCTTTACTTTTTTGTATACAAAACTTAAAATTCCTTACATAAAAGAAAGGAGTATCAAACATTTGAAATTATTTAAAATAAAAAGAGTCATATCATTTAAAGTGGAAGTAATTGAATAGTAATTAACTACTAACTAAATCTAGACTTTCTCCTCCAATTACAAAAATCTGCATGACCAAAAAAATAATTCAAAACCGCCCCACCCCACCCCAGCCCACATCACCCACTCCCCCCCTATAAATACAGCTAACTTTGTCCATTTTCTGCTACTTCATTTTCTTTCAAAGGTAAACACTAAACAACACTTTTCCTTTCACTTAGAGAAAATTCAGACCCCTCATTTGGTTTCTTCTTTCTCATTTGGAAGGTTTTCAAAAGCAAAAGTTTTGTTTTAATTAAATGGAGAATCTACCAGTATCACTGTTTATGGAAACTACATTAACATCATCGCCAACGTTGCCCCCTCGCAACAACATTTCTTCTTCTTCTTCTTCTTCACAGAAAAATGAGGGTCTTGATTTGGCTTCTGCCACCCCAAAACAGTTGGTGTTATTACTACATGATGTTAATCTTCGCGAAGAGGTTATCAATCAACTAACTAAGGTGACACGTTTTAAACCTTTTTATCTAAGTGTTTATATATATATATGCATTTTGAGTACGTGTTAGTTTTTGTTTATCTATTTGTTTGTGTGTTTTTGTCCTCTACTTTGTGGTTGTTCGGTGTGTGCATGAGAGATATAAAGGTATAAGGAAGTTCATTTGTGTTGTCTTTCATGCCTTCTTTTGCTCTTTGAATGATCGCTATAATCCACATTGAATTCTCTGAGAATGATCTGATTGAGTGTTTTCTATTTTTTCTAATATTAGAGATGTCAAAACGGGCTAGCGTGTTACAGCAATAGCCTTAAAGTGGATGATTATAAATTTTGTCCACGCTTGACTCACGGGCAGAACTTCAAGTTTAACAAGTTTTACCTTTCGCTTGTCCCATGAGCAGCATTTTTAACTTTTGACCTCAAAGTTCTACCCATAGGGCAATCGGTGTCAAAAGTTAAAGACCACCCCAAAAAGTGTCCTATTTCTGCAATTTTTTGGAATTCAATCGTCGAGCTCAGCCCAATCCTCAATTGTAAGGGCTTGCAAAATGCTAGCCCAATTCCTCCCTAAGTAAGCCGCGAGTTAGTCCGCAAGTTACCACTTCATGACTACAGGCTAATTCCTAAATAGCAGCCTTTTAAAGTGGCTATCTGGTGTCATTTCCACTTTATATTACAGTATTATTTTTTTTCAAAAAAAAATTATTTAATTTTGTCAATTTGCCACGGTAATGTCACTTCTATGACGACAAGTAGTTCTTGATTCAAGTTCTTAAGCTGGATCCAACACAATTATTTATCTTTTCCCCATCAAACAAACGAGAACTATAACATAAATTCGTGTATTCAAGATGATGTAAATACATTTCTATAGTTATAAGGATGAAATATACAAACAATTTAAACATGATGTGTTCCTTAACATCATCATCCATTAATTAAGATCCACTAAAAAAGAAAGCAGACCACATCCTTAACTATTGTAATTTTGACTTTGAGGGACAATTATCTTCTTATGAATATGAGTGAAAAAATCCTAAAACTAATTGATGATACATAGGCTATTAGTTGTTTCACCTCTTGTATGTGGGTATTTCTTATTTATATTTCGGTAATGTGGTTATTTGAAAACGATGACAATCAATTTGCTTGTCCTTAAACACACAGTGTTGTGAGGTAGTGATCGATGATGATGGTGTATTGCGACTTCATTGCAATTCCGTCTACATCAACGAAGGATTAGGCAATTTTGGTTTAATTCAATTATTTGTGGCCTAATAACATAAATTTAGTTTTAAATTGTGAGTATTAGTTATAATTCCTAACCAACTTTATTATTTCAGGAACTAATATCCTCTAATTTATATTTGTGCAATTAGGATTTTGCAACTGCATTAAGCACGTGCAGTGAACTAATAACTCTAGTCCCTTTTTCTGTTACCTTTTGGAAGTGCTAGAAAATATCTAAGTTTTGGGTAATTTTTCTTATTATTTCAGAAGAGAGACACATGCACAGAGCTACCTTTGCTGTTGTGGAACACCTTCAATGCAGTCTTCATACTTTTACAGGTATATAATATAATATACCTCTTCTTATTTTCACTCATCTAGCTAACTTCTGCTGGATAATGAATATAAATTTTAAGTTGAATCCATCATTTTCGTAATAGACAAGTAGATTATTGTGCATATTAAATTTATTTTTCTTTTGAGTTATGATTTTCCTCCAACCATCAACTGTAACTTTCAGCGACAAATGTCAAATGAATTTTCTTTAACTGATTTTCTGAAAATTTTAGAAGAATACGTTTTAATCTGCAATTATAATTAGTTGTCAATACCTAATTTATCTGTTAATTTCAGGAAGTGATAGCAGTGTACCCGAAGTTGTCAACCTCGACGGTATCTATTAAGGAGTCAACTCGAGTGTGTAATGCCCTTGCTTTGTTTCAGGTCAGAAATGAACTAGTCCCTCCGTCTCAATTTATGTGGCGCAGTTCGGATTTCGAGAGTTAAACAAGTTTTTCTTTGACCATAATTTTTTCATATGCCTTATATATATTTTGAATTATTAATTATTGTGACTTATAGTATTTTTTACGTAGTTTCCAAATATATAAATTATATTTCACTATGTCCGAACTCACGGTAAAAATTAAGAAGTTTGACTCTCGAAATTCCTGCTTCGCCATATAAATCGGGAAAGAGGGAGTAGTGAATTATGTGTTTGACGTCACCTCTTTTATGCACTTATGCAAAACCAGTTTGATTTGGTGATCAATGTGCTTTATGCTGCAATTGTTTTAGTCCATGGAATTACTGGAAATCTGTAATTTAGGAAAATCTGAGATGTGAAGTTTTTATTTTCTTGAGTTCTAGGCCTCAAGTGAAACGCATTAGAGATAACCATAAATTTTTGTATATAAATTCAGCTGAGTAGTATCAGATAAGACAGTACTATCTTTTTCATGGCCTCAAAAAAGGGCAGCCCACCGCACTAAGCTCCCACTGTGCGTGGGGTCCAGGGAAGGGCCGGACCAGAAAAATCTATTTTACGCAGTTTTACCCTGTATTTCTGCAAGAGCCTGTTTTCACGGCTCGAACCCGTGACCTTCTGATCACATGGCAATAACTTTACCAATTACGCCAAGTCTCCCCTTGATGTTCAGGCGATAGGAAGGGGAGGTCATGAAATGAATTTGATGATATCATTGACATAACTTATTATTGACACCAGTTTTTACCACTTCATGATATATATATATGCATCCACCTTATTCTTTTATGGTTATTTTCTGCAGTGTATGGGAAATCACCAAGAAACAAGAAGGGAGCTGATAAAAGGTAATGTCAGTTCTTGAAATGATACAAATTTAAATGAAATATAAACCTAGGGTGAAATACTCGTATAAATGAGTAGAGGAACAAATCTCCCTGCTGCAGTCCATTTTCATTCTATGCTTGTGCCTCATCTCTATAATGGTTCAAAATAAAGTTCTATTACTATAAGCTATGATTCTAATTTTGTCAAACATAAATGGGAGATGTTCATTCCGTTATCATTTTTGTGGTGAAGCATGCAGATCATGCATTGCAAAGCTTTTCATACCCTTTTATAATGCTCTAGTTTTCCTCAAGCTCTAAGTTTTCTGCTTTTTGTCAATAATTCTTTTCACTCTGAACTACAAATGGTTTTCCGGAAACAGTCTCTCTGCCTTCCCGGGTAGGGTTAAGGCTGCGTATATCTCACCTTTCCCAGACCCCACTTGTGAGAATTCACAGGATTTGTTGTTGTTGTTGCTGTGAACTTACAAATGGTTTTCCTAATGTCGTTTGAGAAACACAGTTAACTCTTCTGGTAACTATTCTTTGCAGCTAAAATACCATTTTATTTTTACCCATTTCTCAAGACTAATGGGAAAAATGGAAATGACAAGCCTTTGGAGTTTATCAGGCTCACCAGCTTGGGTGTTATCGGTTCCCTAACAAAGGTATTCTTCCATTTGAACAAATACACTCGTGCTCTCTCCATTGTCGTCACTCATTCATTTCATGCATTTATTTTTTTCAATTTTCTTCAAGACTGGATGTTCAGTCTTGAGCCGAGGGTCTTCGGAAACAGCCTCTCTACCTTCACAAGGCAGGGGTAAGGTCTGCGTACACACTACCCTCCCCAGACCCCACTTGTGGTATTATACTGGGTATGTTGTTATGTTGTTATTGTTGTTGTTGTTGTTGCTTTTTTTTCAATTTTCTTCAAGACTGGATGTTCAGTAGTTACACTACTTTACTGATTACATATGCCTTAACTAGACATAATGTAAGTATCAGTTACGGCTGATGGCTATCTGATAATTAGCCCTTCAAATCTGGATCTGCTTTTTCTTCTTGAGGTATCCATCTGCATTTTCTTGAATCATTTATTCACAGCACCATATATGGCATTTCGTATTGATAATTAGACCACTGATCAAACATTTATAGCATTATTTGATTCTGAATTTTGCTTGCTAATGCAGTTTGATGATCCATATGGTGGAGAGATCCTTTATTTTTTCCTGGAAACAGAACTGGTTCCTTTGTGCCTGCATTGCATGGATCTAGGTGATGAATTGTCGCGTAAGGTTAGACTGCTACATATTAATTCTGTTCCTTAATTGTTTTCTGTGTTGAATTATTAGGTTACAACTAGGATAATATAGTGCAGACAGGATCAGTGTTATCAATGGCGTGTTTAAACCTTGAAGCGAGGCTCAAAACATGTTGAGCGCTTCGTCTCGCTTATCAGGCACTTCAGTGTTTTCACCAAGGTTCTAAGGCATACTTTTCCTTGCCAATGAGCGTAATCTCGAAGAGACGACATTAAACAATTGATATTTCACTTTATCGTAAATTTTCTTCAATTTCTTTCTCCATATATTTGGTATTCATGCTTGTAGATATTAGTCTTTTACTACACATACATATTCGTAGTTTCTCTATTTGCGCCTTTCTTCATTAAAACCCACACTTAATTTACACTTTGCGCTTAAAGCCCCAACAGACCTTAAAGCCTTTTTGCGCTTTTCGCCTTTGATAACACTGGACAGGATTGTATCTATTGAATATCTTGTTTTGGCCTGTATAAGTTTGATTGCTGTTGCATAGGGATAGGGAGAAAAGGGTGCTTCTGATATGTTTGCTAACTCCTGATTTTCCACTCTGCCTTACAAATTGTGTTTCTGATTGACTTTACTGGTTTTTGGTGATATGCTGATTCTTGACATCAAAATATGAAAAGAATGTTCTCTGTCTGCACAGGTCGCAACACTCATAGTTATGAAAATTTTGATGCAAGAGGAAGGACTAAGCTATTGCTGCGCTTTGGCTGAACGGTTTTACTCAATAGTACAGGTCTTGCATCGAGTAGTACAGAAACTTTCTCAAAAACCCTGTATACTGCTGCTAAGATATGTGATACAATCTTATCTGTGTCTTTCACAAGTATCAAGGTTCGTCGGGTAAACATCTTTGTTCCTGCTGCTCAGGTTTCATAATTTGCGATTTTTCTGTTATATTTCTCTTTGAATTTGTTGTTTGATCCACTTTCATAATGCAGGCCATCTGATGCATTCAGGAGCCAAATTCCTTGTCAGCTATTCGACAACACCTTTATGGACATGCTTCGTGTAAGTTCATCTTCTCTCCTCCTTTTTACACACTAATAGACATGATGCATCTTCTAAAGAATTTCTAGTATTAGAATATCCTAATTTGCTACCGCCTATAAACCCAGACCGCACTTGTGGGATTACACTGGGTTTATTGTTGCTGTTCGTATCGCCTATGTAGGTCTTTCTCAATTATTATTACAACTCCATGTGTATACAGTCAAACCTCTCTATAACAGCCTCGTTTGTTCCGATATTTTTTGGCTGATATAGTGAAGTGCTATCATAGAGGACATATACATAACATAAAAATCAGTTCCGAAAAAAATTTGGTTTTTATAGTGAATGACTGTTATAGAGAGATCTCAGTGTACTTTTTTGTTTTGCATATGACTTTGCAGGATGACCCCGAAACTTCAACGATGTTGCAGCAGCTATATGTCCAGATAATGCGCTGATCAAGACAGTAATAAGATGGTAAACATAGATACAACTCTATCCTCTATACTAGTAGGAAAAGAGGACATGAAACAGCAAATAGCCACCTCAGTTGGCTCATTTTGGAATTTTGTATTGTGCTCCAGCTGTATTATTCGTAGGGATGCAGATGCTAAATGAGGGGTAAAATGTTTTAACTTTTCAACAGTAAAAGCTCGAAAACTTCTTGCAAAATATAGCTTTGTTAAAACTTAGAGGTCGTTTGGTAGAGTGCATTAGATAAAATAATGCATGCATTAGCTTTGTGTACTAGTAAAACCTTGTTTGGTATACTTTTTCAACCTATGTATAACTATTACAAGCATTAGTTATACACCCTATTTGGTATTATCCTATGTATAACTAATGCATAGCAAAACCATGGTATTAGCAATACCAAAGCTATTAATGCATGCATTAGTATGGTTAAAGGTAAAATTATCCTTAAAGTCCCTTAAAGCTAAAGAATATGGAGGGTATTTTTGTAAATAAATAATTTTCTTAAAAATTATGCAAGGGATATCAATTTTAATACACCACACCAAACAATGAATAAGAAATAATCTCTGCATAACTAATGCTTGCATTACTAACCCATACATTACTAATCTCTGCATTACTAATACACCTTATTCAGCACTATTCTTATACACCCTACCAAACGATCCCTTATAGTTTTGTCTTTTGCTGCTGCACTACATTGTATACCAGTTTTTCCTTAATCTGTCCTTAATGCTAATTAAGTGAACCGTTTAAGAAAGAGATAAAGTTAGCTCAGAAAATATACTGTAAAGACGGATATTTGAGTGTCAAGACCCCAATTTCTCACCTTCGGATGTCGTGATAGTACCTAGTCTTTAGGACTAGGTAAGCCTAACACATACTGATTATTAATGGAATTTAACCAAAAATACCTTAAATCAACATAGTTGAACCAACAACAGTTACATAACCCCAAAATCGGCAGTACAAGTCATAAGACTTTCTAAGAGTAACTATATATGACGAATTCATCACTGTTCCGGAATAATAGGAAATAATGAAAATAAAATACAACAGAAGGTGACTTTGGGACCTGCGAACGTCTAGCAGGTATACCTTGAAGTCTCCAGCCGCGCAAACATCAGTCTCAAAACCAACTCGATCTGAAATACCTGAATCTGCAAAAAAATGTGCAGAAGCGTAGCATGAGTACACCATAGTGGTACCCAATAAGTATCAAGCCTAACCTCGGTAGAGTAGTGACGAGGCCAGTCAAGACACCTACCAGACATATAAACATGTGCAGGATATAACATAAAGCTAACAAAGGAAAGAACATCAATGTAAGGCCAATAACAGAAGGATCACAAATTATAATTAACAGTGAAAATAATGGGAGCACGAATGGCAACGAAAAATAACCAAGTAATTAAGCAACGACATAGTCGGGTTACAGATGAAATATGAATGAATGCAAGTAAGGGAAATCAATCACAACTCAATCAATCGAATCATTCCTAATGCACGAATTACAACAAGAATTACCCGAGGTACCGCTCCTGTAATCTTATATCTTAAGTCACAACTTCCAAACTTTACACATATGGCACCTTGGGCCCACATTTTCCAAATCACTTTCGCACGGCTGAATCCATGTGCTACCATGTACATAGTATCCGTGTCAAACGCTAATAATAAATATTTGAGGGATCTATTTATGTCACGCCCCGACATTAGGGAGCGCGACCGGCGCTCAACCGAGATACCCCGGTCAAGCAAGTCTACTTGATGTCTTCTACCCAACCTTACCCATGAATAATATAAGCATCAGTAACAAGAGATAGACATGAGAAGAGTAAAGTGTTCCACATTCTTTTTCCATTACTCAAATTAGCTTCATTTACAATTTCCAAAAAAATTACAAGTTCATAATTACGAGGGAAAAACATGTTTGCCAAATACCAACACTTCTAGTTCATTACCCAACATCGAACACCACCCACAACATGTCTTCGGAGCCTCTAAGTACAACAGAAAAGTAGTATGAAAGTGTCGGCGACAAGGCCCCGGTTATACCTCAAAACATAATGTACAATGTCAAGTGACATAAGGCCCGGAACAGAATAGGGCTCACCAAAACCTGCTGAATAGAGGGTAACTGCTAACGAGGATCAAAGATGCCCACTGACGAACTACCTGCATCCATTAACGATGTAGCTCACCCCGCAAAAGGGACGTTAGTACATATGGAATAGTACTTGTATGTAAAGCTAAATACCCTCTCATGAAATAGAATGCAATATAAAAAGGGAGTAATCATGAAAGCAACAAGTAACAACCATTGATACCCAAATGCAAAGTTAAACATAACAATTTTCAAAATGAGAAATTAACATTTTTGGTTAGGAGATCATTAGCCTCCGATCATCACACCATACACGAGGCATGGAGTCCGATCACAAACTCGATGGCCTGAGCAATATATCCACGAATCAATGTGGATTGACATGGTGATGCGAATAAAAGGTGATACCAAGAATGAGAAACCACCATGCGCACGACATAGCGTCCGATCTCCACCCGATCAGCTAAGCCGTCTCCCCACATATGGCGTGTGGGTCGACTTCCAATCTAGGGCTAACATCAATCTCATCCCAATTAAAGAAAATAATCTCAACACATCAATCTCATCCCAATCAAGTGGGATAATCTCAATTCATCCCTACACCGGTACGTGTAGTTTCAGGTAGGGGCCGTTACAACCTACCCTTCCTCGGCTCGCTAATGATACTCACAAAAATATTTTTGTTTTTCACACAAAGGAAACAATACAGATACATTCATATCATAACCTTCCATACCACATATAGCTTCACTAGTACTTTCAACGACTCAAGTACCATGATTTCATCGGCTCTCTTGGCCATACAATGATTCTTAATTCATGGAACGACGACCGTATCTCATATTCCACACTTTCATTCCTTTACTTTCAAGGGTCATCATCATAAACATCAACGTATAGAATATTCCGAAAATCATAACTTTAAGTTGATTAGAAATAAAGGCTTTAAACACAATGGATTTCTTTCCAAAGAATGGAGAAAAATGACCAACAATTGAAGCACAAGTAAAGAATCATAAACGAGTGATACACCACTTATTCTTGAAATACTTTTTCCAAAAGGGCAATAAACAGTTTCAACTCATGAGTATGTAAGGACTCAAAACACATTGGAAATACTTACAAGCATAGCATGGTGTTTTACGATTGAAACATGGATTCAAAGCATATACATTAGTTAAAACAACCATGTTTGAACATTTTCCCACTATGGGGAGCATAGTATGATAAGGGAAGTTTGAACACGACTTGAGTACATAAGCATTTAAGCAAATAAGTTTTCAGAATCGATTTGGAGCCATTGGAACGAGAGTTTGAACAAACCGTACTTAGATTTTCCGAGGAACTCATGGATTCCAATTCTAGAAAGGGAGTTTAGCCAACATACCTTGATGGAGCTCTTTAGTGATACTAAATCCCTCCCCCCCCCCCCTTCCCCCCTACTCTTACAACTTCAATCTACATCAACATAATTTAATTGGAGCAATATTAGTAAAAATTTCAGGTTTTAGGTTATTTTGGCATTTTATCAAACACCTAGAGTGCATAGCATTCTATCACCTCTAGTAATGGTGTTTCTTAATCAACAATCCCTCCTACCAACCAACAAGATATACAACATCCTTTGTCTACTAACTGCCTTCTTTAGCACCATCATAATCATCAATGAACTCACATCCACCAAATTTCACTAATTAACTCATTACAAAATCTCTACGATATCCAATAATCTAGTTTAAGTATTTATGGCTTCCAATCACCATCCAATAAGTGCTAATACTTATTTCTTGCTCATATTCATTAATAATCCATGCATATAGGTTTAAGGGTGAAAGTTTACCTCTTGTAGACCAAATCTTGAAAGACAACTTTTGGGGTATTCTTAAGATTTTGAAGAAATCCTGTGGAATCCAATACAAAACCTTGTTGTAACTAGTGATTGAGAAGTGAAATCATCATAAAAATACACTTAAAACTCATCTTAAGTATCTTTGAGATGATAAGAAGTTAATCATATTGGTCTTAAATGATACAATGGTGTATAAGAGTGGTTAACAAGTATTAGAGGTTAAACGAATCAAGGATGTTGTAACCCGTATTTTCGGGTAAAATTAGAGGTGCTTAATATTCTTAAGATGTTGTGTTTTAAGATATTTGAATCATATAATATCTGTATCATAAGTCTTTAAGTCAAACGAGTTATGAAATAAAAGTCGACAAAGTTGTCGCAACTTACATTCATAATTTTACTTAAACTTTAGGTCAAATGTTACTAAGCTTTTCTCCAAATTTACTTGGAATTATGGGGTGATCTACCCACCAAAATGAATATCTATCAGTCTAGTTTCTAACACATTAAACCGTTTGTCGATATGATGTCGGAGTAGAGATATATTCACGTTTTCGCGAGACTGCATAAGCAGCTCTCTATGGGGCCCACATAGGCGGTTGAGATATATTGATATATATGAGATGAATTAACCCCGTTTTAACTCATTATTTTTCATTATCTTCAGACCCTATACACCTAAAAGCACTCTCAAGGTTCTCTCATGATACAAGACCCAAACAAAGGGCAAACAACACAAATCAAGTGTCGAGAATCCCATGGCGCTAGTAAGTTTCTTGTTCTTCTTGTTGTTGCTGATTTTTGTGTGGTTCCAACTCGTGTGGGAGGTTGTTTTAAGTGGTTTATGTTTTGTAAAACACTCCCTCGAGTTTTTAATATCAACCCTAGGTGATTTCAAGTCTTCCAAATTGATTCTAGTGCCGAAAACCCCTAATTGATTGCTAGTTTCGCTTCCTTGTTATTGTGGAGGCATTGGAAGGATATTTCGTGGTGAATTAAGGTCAAATTGGAGTTTTTATATCTGTTTAAAGGTAAGTAACCTCTTACTCTACATGTATTTAATATTATCCAATTTGCGGCTAAGTCATTGAAGCTAGAACTTGTGAGTTATCTATCGAAAGGCTTGTTAGTAATGTTGTTGGTTGGTGGACTGTTTTGGGAGGCTTAATATGATTATTACTGATGTTGTTTGGGATGTTTCGTGATCGTTTTAACATGTGGGAAGTCATATAAATAGGGTAGGCGTTGTCTGTTTTATCGTAAAATAGGATGCGGTCGATGCATAATAGTTACGACGCTTAAACGATAACGATAGTATCATTTCTCTTAATATAGACTAAGGAGTCGTGACATTTGCATAGCTTGAAGTTGGGCAGTA